TCCTTCCTTCCTTCCTTCCTTCCTTCCTTCCTTCCTTCCTTCCTCCCCTCCTTCTCTCCATCCTTCTCATTCCCACCTCCTTCCTTCCTTCCTTCCTTCCTTCCTTCCTTCCTTCCTTCCTTCCTTCCTTCCTTCCTTCCTTCCTTCCTTCCTGAGAAGATGGAAGCACATGAGGCCGAGATGCTTCATCCATCCCATGTTCTCCACAGCTTTCTTAGAGATTTCTGGTCTCACCTCAGCCTCATGCCAACTCAGCTTCTCATGGAAGAGCCCATAAATGTCCCTCTGATACCGTAACCATTCTCTCAGGCAGAATTCAGCTTGAGAAACTGGAGAAGCACAATAGACATGAATGGTGGGAAGGGGGCATAGTTATGCCATGAGTATGAAATAAGTGAATGCATAGAGGAACTCAGCAACCCAACCTCCATAAGATTAAATTTTCTCAGTAAATTCCATTTCCGTCATGCTGCTTATAGACCTAGACAGCTTATTATTTGTGCTTTTGACAATTAGAATAAAACTAGGTTATAGAAAAAAACTAAGCTCTTTTTCTGTAATCATAAAGTAATAGTCAAAATTGCAATATAATGCTTGTTGCAGAAGAAATTGGAAGCTGCTTTTTTCTGTTCCTTTTTGTTCTGTCTTTCTGAACTCTTTGTCTCATCTTTCTTCTCTCGTCTTTTGCTCTTATGAGCTTGGGTTAGCTTTTATATTCCTTATAAAACTTTTAATAATAATTATAAAAAACAAAAATGGAAGAATAGTGTGTTTTTCTCAGGGTAAATCTGAGGGAATTTTCCTCAATTATGTTAATATTTGACATAATATATGCTAGAAACCATGAGAGCTAAAACCAATAGAATAAAGAAATCCAGTAAATATGACCATGATTAACGAGGTACGGTGTTTGCTTCCCACTAGGGTGTAGAATTAGTGGGTTGATTTTTTGATAACTCCTTTCTTTACCTAAGAAAATACTTGCCAATTATCTTTCAATCTGAGCTTTACTTCCTTTCCTCTCAGTTATGGGAAAAAGAAGAGGGTAGACCAGGAAATCCTTGAAGAAAATTGTCCATCTTGATTTTGTGCCAGGACCCCTGAAGACTATTTAATGGTTGCTCAGAAAGTGAGAGTCCACCAGTCCAACCGTCCACCAACTCAACCTCCCCAGTTGAAGAACTTCGCAAGGTGAGAGGCTGAAGGCATTCTTGGTAAGTGTGGTTAGATACTCTCTGCTACCCATACAGTGATCTGGCACTGAAATAAGGAGAGGGCTTTTTGAAGTAGCAATAGAGCTTTTCATGACTTGTATGCTAGGAACCACAACAGAAAGTTTGCAGGTAGACTAGGATCAAAATTAAATTATGGCACTCAAAATTTTGCTTTCTTTCTCAGCGAGCTAATATGAATGCCACTCTATTAATTCTTCTATCACATCTACTTTTATTTTCTCCTAAAGGGCAACCAGAAGATGGGATTCTCCATGTACATCGGCCTCTGTTGCCTTGGAATCTTGATCACCAATCCTTTTTTGGGCGGTGAGTTCCCCAATTTAATCATGATGTGGGAAACAGCAAATTAAACAACTTAGTAAAGTAAGCTCTGTCTTCAGATATTTTCATATGTAATATGCAGGACAGAATTTTTATGCTGATCCCAAAATTCTGAAACTGTACTACTGAGATGCGCTAATAAAATGAATGTACAGTATTTCAGCAATGTGATTTCTCAGGTTCCACATTTAAATTTAATTTTCCGTCTGAAGGGCAGGAAGAGTAATAATAATTCTCTCCCTCAGACATTGAAACCTTTCTCAATGACTCCATTGTGGCACAGTTTTAGTCATTTGGGATTGTCCATTTGAGGCAAGCATAAGACTAGAGGAACCTTTGAACATTCTCCTTGAATATCTTGAAATTGTTCTTGAAAATAGATTTGGATCACTTTCAAGGTTGTAAAGAAGTAGAAGTATTTGGGGTCTCTTGATTGTTTTGCTCCATCTTAAAATCCTATCCCTCAAACCAGAAAAACTCCTTGCCTTCATGCTAAACCACAGCCCTCAACCCTTCCAATCATGTCTACTCCCAAAGCAAGAGATTCCATTCATGGACATCTGCAATCTATTCCAATTCCCTACCATTTCCCCCCCTCTTTTTGTCTCCCTGCAGCCAAGGCTGCGTCATGCCCCAGAGACTGGTTGCAGAAAGAGGGGAACTGCTACGGGTATTTTGATGCTAAACTAAATTGGGATGCTGCTGAGGTAAGAACTGGGTTTTTTTTTACCAGTCCAGGTGTGGAGAAAGGTTTCTTGAGAAACCAAAATTGCACAAATGGAGGTGTGCAAAGTTTAAAGTTTGCGACAATCCTGCTCATGAGCATGGAGTGCTATCTTTGTGTCCTTTCTCTATTTCTAGCTTGAGTGCCAGACCCATGGCCCAGGATGTCACCTTGCCTCTATCCTCAGTTTCCACGAGTCCTCGCTGGTGTCTGCATACGTCAAAGACAAACAGGGATCACCTGGCCCTGTCTGGATGGGGCTCCGTGATATCTCTGGGGTGAGTCTGACATTTTTCATTTCATTTTCTTAAAAATTATTCCTGGTCTACATATTGCGTTCTTTACTCAGTACTTTTATACACATTCTTTTGTTATATTTGGCGAGCTGCTTGGTGATCATAATATATGACCTGAGACTGTTTGTTGGTGCTCATAACTGCAGTCTGTGCTGGATTTAGGCATCCACTAAGCAAACTACAGTTGAGGATTCACAATCCGTAGTGCCTCATAAAAAATTTAGAACTGTTTTCTTTTGGGTTCTTGGAAATGTATGTGGTATTATATAGGTACTCTAGGTGTTAAAATATTGTGCAGCCATTGTTTAAGTAATACTTTTTATTGATGTTTAAAAACACAAAGATAAAAAGATGCCAACTCATTGAGACTGAATAATGAAGCTTTATTATTTGCTCATAGATACACAAGGAGAAATGGGATGAAGAGATTTTAAATTCACATGTTAGAGAAGGTGATAAATTATTGAAATTGTCCTGAAGAAGGGGAAAGTCATTTCTTTATTATTATTTTTCCTTTTTTAAACACGTTTTTTCTTCTTTTTCAAACTTTTAGGCTAGTGAGAAGTCAACAATGATGTTTTTAAAAGTTGTATCTGATATCAATTTTGCAGATCAATTCTTTATTACTTAGAGAAATAAAACTGATCCTGATTACGTATTTTGTGCATGTGTGTATGTCTGTGTCTGTGTATACAATATATGTTGTGTGTATAAATTATATACACACACACATACATATTTGTGTGTGTGTGTGTATCTTTATATCTATATATCCATATATCTATATATCCATATATCCTTTAAGTATTGTTTCCAGGTTATTTTATTATAATCTATGAAAGAGATCAAGCTAGCTGAATGAAAAATATATAATCAACATCTACCTTTATTTGAAAACAATTTGCATTTTTCACTTTCAGTTGATTACTATTAAATAATATTCAGCTATGCACTTCTGATGCAACTTTTTAACAATGGGCCCTTCCAAGCTTTATTGAGTTTAGGGCCTCAGCTAGTCTACATCCTGCACTGACTGCAGTGATATCAAGAAGGCTTCTAAATTAGGACCAAATAGCAGTGCTAGGATTTCACTCCCCTCTCTTTTTGAAGGGGGGACCACTTCATCCTGACAGTATAATAACAAAAGTTCATTGCAAGCGGCCTTCCATTTCTACTTTTAAGGTAAATATGAACGGTGGGAGAAGAGTGGTTGCAGTAGCCCAAACTATTCAGCAGAATTCACCTCTGGCAATCCAAACTTTCAAAGAGCTGAATGTTAGATGCAACATATATAAATTTGCGATGGTGACGAATATACATTTCCACCATATTCATTGTCATGAATTGTTCATGATACGATGCCTTGCGATTTTTTATTTTAATGCACATGTGCTGCAAAATTTCATAGAGCTGAATGTTATACATCAGGGCTTTTCAACCTTTTCACCCATTGTACCACTTTTAGGATATGGCAGTATCCGAGTACCACCAGTCGCTTAGCAAGGGGTCAAAAACTTGATGACCCCAAAAAAAAAAAAAGGGAAAAAGTGATAAAGTACAGGTAGTCCTCAACTTACAACAGTTCGCTTAGTGACTGTTCGAAGTTACAATGGCACTGAAAAAATTGCCCCCCAAGCACAGCTGAGCAAGACACCTGCCTGCCCACCCGGTAGCGCTCTTCCTCCTGTCTGAGGTTTTCATTGTTGTGAGCATTTCTGTTGAGGATTGGCAGCGGGGGTGGGGTGGGGAGAGGAGGTGTTTGGTTTTTATTCCCCCTGTCTGCTGGATGGTTGCAACAGGTTTTGGTCATTTCACATGACCCTGGGACACTGTGACCGTCATAAATATGAATCAGTTGCCAAGCATCTGAATGTAAATCACAAGACCCTGGAGATGCTGCAACATTCCAGCTGATCGGCGCTTCTTCTGGGCTCAGCAGAATCACCAGGATCGGTGCTGCTTTCCAGCTGATTGGTGCTTCTTCAGGGCTCAGCAGAAGCACCAGGATTAGCACCGAGCTCCAGCTGGAGCCTGGTGCTGATCCTGGCGCTTCCACTGAGCCCTGACAGCCCTGCAGCTCCAGCCATCTCTCGCTCAGGCTTGTGCGATGCTGCCACTGGTTCAGCTCATTCCCCTCCCCCACTACCACTTTTCTAGAATAGCCGCGTACCACCTGCCAGGTGTCAATGTACCACAGGTGGTACCAGTACCATTGGTTGAAAAGCCCTGTTATACATAACCCTTTCCTCCATACTCACTGTCATGAATTTGGTATGATGTGATGCCTTGCTATTTTTTTTTAATGCATGTACAGTACAAAAAATGATCACTTGACCACTCAGGGAGACTGCTTGAACTTGTTGAAGTATCTAATAGCTGCACACCACTCAATCTTTCCAGCCAACCTGCTTAGCTTATCATCACAAAGGTTACTTACTTTCTTAGCATGTAATTGTGGTCTGTCTTTTGTCAACAGAGAAGGCGATGGAGATGGGCTGATGAATCCACCTATAATTACAAATCCTGGCTGGTAAACCAACCAGACAACTATAGAAACAATGAGCACTGTGGGGAGCTGGCAAGTTATTCAGGTGAGCCAACACATCTTACCTCGTGGTTCTTGATATATCAGGACCATCAAGAAAACTAGAGTTTGCTTGTTTAATTTGGAGTAATCTTATAAACCAGAAGAATGGAGTCCATGGAGATTTCCATAACTCAAAACTGAAATTGTCTTATCTTTTTCTATAATAGCCTTTAGGAGAAATGATTAGTTTTCTATGAGGGCAAAGATGAATAACTGTTCTCCAGATATAATTCAGTTTTTCCAAAACTGGTACCCACTAGGTGCATCAGCATTAACTTTCTATCACCAATGGAGTACTGAGAAGTGATGTCCAATATATTAGGAAAGTAGCAAAATAGAGAAAACTGGCCTAAACCTTTTCAAATGAGCATGCTTATATCTTACTGAATGTTCAGAACTGGCGCTCTGGTTAGGAAGAGCGTGGTAGCCACTTCACAGTGCGTGTCACAAGTATAATGAATCAGAGGCAAAATTATTAGTGAAATGATTGGTTATGCTTATAATTTTTACTGTGCAAGATCTTAGTGGGATCTTGTCTGCCTGTGTAAATGTTTTGGATCAAGTGAGGTACTTTGGAGAGATTCTCTTTTTGATGTGGAAAAAAAATGACCCGGTTCAGCCAAAAGAAATCAGACATTAGAGCAGCAAGTTCCACTCTTCACTTAATTTCACTTTTTTATGCATTCATTTGTGTATCCGTAGTTAAGGTACTCCATATTTTATTTCTATCTCAAGAAATTTCTTTGTATAGTCCAGTGGTGGCGAACCTGTGGCACATGTGCCAGAGGTGGCACTCAGAGCCCTCTCTGTTGGCACATGCGCCATTGCCACCAGCAGCAGGTCCATCAAGCTGCCCCCGGAGCAGGAGCCCCGCCCAGCACAAAGGAGGCGAAGCGGCCAACTAGCAAGCTCGAGTAGAGGTGGTAGAGCAAAGGTCACCAACCATTGTCGATTGGTGGACTGGAAGAAAAGGGAGGGGAAAGCATTTTACATGCATGCATGTGTGTACGGGGCTGCGAGCACGCACGTGCTGCAAATGGGGCAGGGCTAGTGCCTGCGTGATACTCACTAGCCCTGCCCTGTTCTTGCATGGTGCAGTGCCTTGTATCTGCACCCCATGCCACGGCCGTTTTTGTGCCTTGCAGCATGGTGGCCCATTTTTGCGACCCTGGTTTATGCGTGCCAGAGGCGGCACTCAGAGGCGCCTCCCTGCCCCCCCATGAGGGCACCACAATGCTGATGCGGCCCTGGCACTTTGCGATAAATAAGTGGCTTTTGGGTTGCAGTTTGGGCACTCGGTCTCTAAAAGGTTCGCCATCACTGGTATAGTCCAATGATTATGAGCAATTAAGGGCAATGCCTGCATCTCTCCCTTCTAGATAAAAAAAGTGCTATTGGAATTGTGACATCAGGGATAAGGTTCATGTGAATTCCTTCCTTCCTTCCCTCCTTCCCTTCCTCCCTTCCCCCCTTCTTCTTTCTTCTTTCCTCTTTTCTTTTTCTCCTTTCAAAAGCGAAGTCAATGTTTGCTTTCCTTTTCATGGGAAATTCCATTGGAGCCAGTGGAGATCTTGAAGGCAATATAAAACATGACAATATTTTCCATTTGAAGGAATTAAGAAGTAACTTCTGTCTTATCTTTGGCCTTTTAGATTTTAAATTGTGGAACGATAACTTTTGTGGCAATCCAAATGCTTACATCTGTAAGTACCAACTGTAGAGCCACCTGGACTCCAGCATCTGGGATGCAACCAGAAGCAGCTACGAAATACCTGCAAATTTGATTGACACCCTGTTGATTTTACTGCCTCTGAATCATCCAAATGAAAGATCAGATCTTCTCCAGTCCTATCCAACATTTCCCCTTAGCATAGGCAACTTCACCCTTACCCTGTTCTCCTCCCTTTTCTCAATGGAAATACAATTTGAATAAATCCTCTGTAGCAGATATATAATACAAAGTTTCTGGGAATATTTCTGTCATTCAAGAACAGGGGATGGCAACATTTGGTGGGGTTGGGTGGGACGGAAGCAGTTGTATCGGCTGGGTCAAATACAAGAATTTCATCCCAGTGTTTCAGGAGAAAGGAATAAAAGGAATGAATGGAAGAGAGAGGAGAAAACACATGGTGGCCCCCCAGGGGCATCATAGCAGGAGGGGGGCAAAAACATCAAGATGGCAGTCATGACTGGAAGTGAAGCACCGACCCCTTTTTTCATGAATCCTTTTGAGCAAAAAATTATGGCCGCCATTTTGAGTTGTACTGCTTCCCTGTAGATATCCCCTTTTGCCTCCATTGCCTGGTATTTTTGCCTACATATATTCTTAAGGTGGCACAGGACTCACTTAAACTTGCAAAGACAGACATGCTGTTGGAAAGGTAAATAAATGAAATCTGTTGAAATCCAACTTTATATGAAAGGCAATGGATGTCAGAATCAGATCTTCTCCTGGACATTTCTGTTGCCAGCAACTTCTTTTAAATTCTGGTTCTGACTTTTTGGAAAGCTCTTAGGGTTGGCTGCAAATGTCAATGCAGGAATTACTGGAATATATCTATCAATGACAAATGAAGAGAATGCCATGTTGCCAACAAACTGGTCACTCTTTTTTTTTTTTTGAAAAACTGTATGCTACGCTATGAAATGCATACAAAAAATTTAGAAAGGAGTTTGACCAGGTGGCTGATAAGATAAGATAAGATAAGATGAGATGAGATGAGATGAGATAAGATAAGATAAGATAAGATAAGATAAGATAAGATAAGATAAGATAAGATAAGATAAGTTAAGTTAAGTCAAGATAAGATAAGATAAGATAAGATAAGATAAGATAAGATAAGATAAGATAAGATAAGATAAGATAAGATAAGATAAGATAACCTTTATTGTCATTTTTATACTGTGGGCACAATGGCACACATCAAAAATGAAATTTAGTTGCCCGCTCTCAAAGTGAAACATATACATGCCACACACCTAAACATACTATGAACAACATATGTGTAGACCCACATTCCTACATATACATAGCAAATAAATATTAAATATTGTCCATCTTGAATATATAACGGAAGGAGGAAGCTTGAGAGTTCGCAAGGTGAATGCTGTATGGAATGAAACTCTGGCTGAATCTGGATGTTCTGCTACGGATACCACGAAGCCCCCTCCTCCCAGAAGGTAACAAGGAAAACAGGTCGTGAAGAGGATCTGTAGTGTCCCAGATAATCTTATATATTATTATATTTATAATAATAAATATTCTTATTATTGAATCTTATTGTTTTATTGAATCATATTGTTTCATTAGCCTACGTGAGTGTAACTAACAAAGCATACTGCCCCCCCCCCCAAAAGCAGGATTTTATTGAATTGGCAAGAGTATTAGAACAACACGTCATTGGCAAAGAATATTTATTTGTGTTCACTTTTCAGTGAGCAAAGAACAATAAGGCTTAGTAAAGTCTGGACCAACTGAAGGTTAATTGTAAATGAGAGATCAGATCTAAGGAGAAAGAATTCAGATTCACTTAGACTAGAAAAGATTGCTTGAACTCTTGGTTTCAGTGAAGGATTCTTTAAAATGAACTGAAATCCTGAACTTAAGCATGATGATCTGAACCCAAAATTACTTTATTCAATCCAAACTGGGTTTTGTTTTTCTAGTCAATTGAAAGTTGTAAAGCTTTAGCAATAAGTGTTAGTACATGACCAGATTTATGGAAAAGGAGGAACATAAATTACAGGGATGCGTTGTGAAACAGACAAATTTGAAGGCATGAAAACTATACTCTCTAATCAAAATATAAATCGACAAGTTACATTGTGCTACTTAAAGATATTTAAAGGTGCTCAATTGCTCTGGCATAATTTTATTCACATGGCAGTTCATCACTATTGCAATGCAGACCGAATCTTTTTATGCTCTCTGTTTTGGATTTCTCACAATATAATTCACCTACTCCACCCCTCGTGAATGCATAAGCTACACATTAAGCCATTTTTTGTCTAATAACACTGCAGACATTGCTTTCACTTGTGTGAGATTCAGTGATTTTCATGTCATCCACCTTCAACCTTTGCAGTGTCCTACTCAAGTTCTCTTCCTGCTTATGATTCTGGGTATTTGTTCAAACTGCTAATTACTCCAAATGTCATTACACGCTACTGTTCACATATTGCTACAGCTATTCTACCTACAATTCTTTGTTTTTTAGTCCCCTGGCAAAATCAGCCCTAAGGCAGGATGTTAATTCTAGATGTGGAAGAGCTATAAAGCAATCACTGCATGCAATGCCAATATTTTCTGGTTAAATCAACATCCACGGGAATTCTCCAGTCAAACAAGAATCCATGATAATAAATTACAAATCATATGTAATTTTCTTAAAGTGTCCTGTAAGTGCCAAAACAAATTTAAAAGGACTATTTTTTGAATTATAAAGATGTTGGTTGCTGCTTGTGAAGTTTAACTGTTGCTGGATACTTTCTAAGTCAAGATCAGGACTTGAATCTTTCATTCTAAATGCCCCCCAGCTTAGCTTCCTCATAGTTACATAACAAGGAAATGAAATAATTCATACTTCTACCCCAGGTTTCCTCTAGATTCCAACAGTGATCTAGATAAAAGCAGTAGTGTCAGGAGAAGATGACACTCAAAAGCTGAATATCCAGGGAGACTTCTTGAATCTGGGTGAGTGTATAAATACTTATGCTTGAGGCTCTGCAACGAACATTCTATTGCTTATCATGTGATAATGGCTAGAATAGAATAGAATAGAAATAAGAATAGAATACAGTAGAGTAGAGTAGAGTAGAGTAGAGTAGAGTAGAGTAGAGTAGAGTAGAGTAGAGTAGAGTAGAGTAGAGTAGAATAGAAATAAGAACAGAACAGAATAGGAATAGGAATTAGAACAGAACAGAACAGAAATAAGAATAGAAATAAGAATACAATGGAATGGAATGGAATGGAATGGAATAGAATAGAATAGAATAGAATAGAATAATAACTTCATTGTCACTTTAAGTGTACATTAATCAGCATACATTAAAATGAGATTTCATTGCATACAGCTCTCAAAGGATAACCACTTCCAATATACACTGCATAAACATGACCAAAAAAAATCAGGTAGAACACACACACAAAGACACACACACAAACACAGACACGTTTTCATTGCTAGTTAAATCTTCTAATATCATTCTTGGTTTAAGAGTCTAAGTAAATGTGCTTCGAAATATGTGCTTATGGAAAAAGAAAACTCTTTAAAGATACATCATTAATTTCATATTTGGTGCAATTTTAACACAGAGCTCTGTTATTTACAACCCTAACCCTTTCCTTTCCTCCCACTTTTTTATTTTCTCATCCTTTCACTTTGCAGTTTTTCTGCTGTCCTTCAAGATTTTCTTTCTTTTGAACTATTATTTCTATTACTGCAAAACCTCCTTGTTACAAATGGGACAATGCTGTTTGGTGAGTTTCATCAGTCACAATCCCACTTGGATGCTAGCAGTAGCAGAAATTGGTAATTTTGAGCTGCTGCTTTTCTTCCCACAATTCAAATGTTGCAATTTATCTTGGTACAGTAGTCTAGCGTTAAGCTGATAAATTGAGAGATTCAAATCCCCAATTGACCATGGAGCTCATTTGTTGCCATTCATTCTTTCATTTCAGACTAACCAGTTCAATTCAGTTCAGTTAATATGTCTTCTGGGTTATTGAAGATCATGAACCTCTATTGTGTTGGTTTGACTCATGATTGTTATGTGATAGAAAGATATGGGGAGGCCCCAGTTTCTGCTACATTCTATGTTGTTAGCCTAATCATATTGGTTCAGCTGCCTTTAGGGATGTTTTCTCACTCCAGACCACAATCATGCCTTAGAGACTAATCTACACAACTTGTTATAGAGCAGCTTTTTTTTTGCTTGTTCTGCCAGTTGATCCACAGGTCTTCACCATCCTCTATTCTTACTCACAATAGTAGAACTATGATGAATGTCTCAGAGACCATGGCTAAGATGTGGACATGATCATCTTCCATGCCAAGAATGTTGCGGTTGTGAAGATGAAATTATAAGAGACTCAAATATATGCTGTTGTGTTCAATTTGTGCAAGGGTGAATGTATACACATTTTTTTCCTCTCCACTCACACAGTTTCATAACTTCAAGACTTATTATTGACATCAAAGAACTTGGAGTTTTCTCCACATTGAACGGCGAGTTTGCTGACACAGGAATTACCTTCTATTCAAACACAAAACTTTACTTAATCAGATTTGATACCTCCGTGTACCTATTCAAAATATAATATATATATATATTTAAATAAGCTATGTTCAGGAGAAGTATGTGTTGTGTTTTCGGTTCGACGGCAATTGATGAAGACACATGGTGAAAACAACAAGCTCTTTATTTCTCTCTCCTACAACCAAGCAAGCAGCAAAAGGCACGCAGGCCTTTTATAGTGCCTGAAACCCGGACAGTGTGAACCAATAGGAATTGACCATTTTCGTGCCTTGCGCATGTGCGCAAGGCTGGCGCCACTCTGTCTGGTCCAGGGCAGCTTTTGGATTGTCCAGGACCATTTGCAACAATTCTGAGCCTGCTTTCAGCTCTTGCAGGCTCAGGACACAACCCCATGAATCAGTCCAGAATGTCTTTCATGGGTTGTTTACTGAAACATAATGGTTGATTCTTGACTCAAAATTTCCATATATGGAGCTTTATCTATGTCAGCTTTTTAAAAAAACCTGTGGTTAGGGATTTGCTATTTGATCTCTCCTTTAACACTTTATATATGCTTAGTTGCAAAAGCTGAAAGGGCATTGGGATTAAAAGGTAAATGTAGGTTGAAGGATGTGGTTCCTTCAAGCTTTTTAAAAACTGCAGTAAGTCAAAACAAAAGCTTATATTTAACATGGCTTCTTTGATTAAGCTGCTGCTTTGAGCTTTCTGAAGAAAGCCAAGGATATAAATGGATTATGACTGTGTGATTTCTTTGATTTATAGTCTGTGTTTTCTTTAGGAGCTGAAAGTATCTTAATTTTATGTCACAAGGTCAATTCTATGAGCTAGGCTGGGAGACAAAAGAATGACTGGTCCAAATTCATGCAAAGAGATTTGCTGGTCCATGGTCCTAATCCAACACTTCATCCCTACACAACACTAGCACTCTTTTCTGATGTAATAAATAAATATTTTTTTAAAAATGGAAAATATCTCTTGATTTTCTCTTAGCTGAAGAGCAAAAATGAGACCTTTGGCATACAGTAGTCTTTGGCTTCTTGGCTTCTTTATGGCAGGTGAGTTTTCCCTTTTGAAAAAAAAAAAGGTCTGAAGATCAAGATGGGTGAAGACAGAGAAGCTGCCTATAGATCAACCAAGTAGGGCAGAATGGAAGGCCAAAATAGAACGCTGTCAATAGAAGACAATATTTGTAGCTCAGGATTGAACTATGGTGTCCTTGGTGCTCTCTGAGTGTGATTGTTTGCCTGCAGACACGTCAGTTCCAGACAAGGTAGCATCATCTGTGTGTATCAGTTACCTAGACTAGTCAGTTAAACCTAGACTAATAAAGAAATTGTTGCAAGCAAACGACCAAGCTCAGAGAGCACCAAGGACTATCTAAACAACTGTCAGTCTTCTGGTAAACCTTTTTCAGGCTGCAGTTTGGCTCAGTGGTAAAGTGCCTGTTCTGCAAGCAGGAAATCTCAACTTCAATTCCTGGCTTGTCTCTATCACAAGATCTGTGAAAGACTTATCTCAAACTATGGGCAGCTTTACTGTGGTTAGAATAAAAGAAACAAATCTAAATAAGGATATTATTAATAATAGTAGAAATAAATAATGGTGACAGGAACCCATCTGAGCTCCTTCCTGCATTCACTTTCATAGTCATAACATAACCATGTCCCCCTTCCAGCATTCATGTCTACTGTGCTTCCCCAGTTTCTCAAGCTGCATTCTGCCCGAGGGAATGGTTAAGGTATCAGAGGAACTGTTATGGGCTCTTCCATGAGAAGCTGAGCTGGCATGAGGCTGAGGTAAGACTTGAAATCTCTAAGAAAGCTGTGGAGAACATGGGATGGATGAAGCATCTCAGCCTCACGTGCTTTCCCCTTGGCTTCAGATCAGGTGCCAAACCTACGGCCGGGGGACCCACCTTGCCTCTATCCTTGCCTGGCCAGAAACATTGATTGTGTCCAAACATATCTCTGTTTATATGAAAGAAAAAGGGGTGGATGTCTGGATTGGGCTCCATGATG